TGGAGTCTGCTGACCTCCTGGACACCATGCAAGTCCCATCTGCTATCTGCTCACTCATACTTTTGTTTGAAAGGACGAAGAGGGGACAATTTAGACTATGATTAACTGCTACCTTCTGTATCTGTTTTTCATAAAATAATCCCAGTTTCTCTTGTTTCAATCTGGTAGAAGTCAGCTGGGATACTTGCATTTTTCAAATGGAAAGATAAATCAGTCCCATGGTCATAGAAGGCACATACCTCTTGAAGCAAACTAACGGGATTCCACTGAGGTATTTCTAATATTAGAATATGTGGTATGAAAGTACTATATACCAACACATTTTATTTGAATTTAGGAAATTTTCCTATAGAAAATGAAATCTTAGTTATAAATTATATTTTTTTTATTTAAATTGTTATACAGAAGACCACCACAGCAAAAGCACTCCTAACTAGGGGTTCCCTGTTCCTATTTTAGTATGTCCTGACAAAATTTTTATGCTTCTTCTATTCACTGGAAGAATAAGGGGGCATTTTCCTCAAAACAAAGAACTTTTTCCATGACATAATCTGCAGAGTCACGTTACCTGAGAGCTGCCTTTGGCTGGCAGTCCTGTCCCCAGCCTCCACAGAGAGAACAGGGACTCATAAAAAGGAGGACGAGGCTGCTACTGGTCAACACTACTGCAAGCTTAAGCCCAAAGTTCTCATGGCATCAGGTGCAGCTGTGTTGTTCTCAAGAAAATAAAACATTCCTGATGCATTATTTGGACATTGGCATACATAGCTTTGTCGTCTTTTAAACTTCCACCAAATCAACGTCAAATCACTCGTCTCCAGTGAGAAACAACATGTCTATTAGAGGACACAAAATCCTCTCCCACTTTTGGACAAAGTCTGCTCCTTTTCACTTGGGACCATGTCACCCGCCATGTTTTCAAACGAGAGCGACGACTCCTCCCTGAAACACGGGCGCTGGCCTCAGCTGCGTGCGTTACTCACGGAGAGCCACGATGAACCTCCCGCCGTTTCATCACTCTCCTAGGACCGGCACTGTTCCCCCTTCCTTCCTTCGGTTGTCAATACTATTGTGACAATGGCCCTGTTATCAGGAAGCAGTGAGCAACACACTCATTTTTAAATCTCTCCAATTATCAATAAACCACTTTAAAGGGTGCTGCTAAGAAGGAATAATGCTCAACGGGCCACTTCCACAGCCTGGATAGACAGACAGACATGGGAAGCTCTGCCTGGACAGGCATGTTGAACAGTTGCCTCCAGGACAACAAACAACTGGTATTTAAATTATTTTGTTAGCATCACCCCACCTCCTTGGCTGACACCCCAGCTGCGCGGCAGCTCATGGCTACCATTTCACGGGTTCGGCAGGGGCAAGCTTTCACCCATGCCGACGGGAGCCAGCGAGCAGCTGACTGCAGGAAGCAAGTACAAAGTCATCCCCTTAAAACCAAAGCTGCAGTTGAGTTAAGGACAACACCGAGTTTTTAAAAATAAGATTCTGGATCCCAGACAGATAAACAGTCTTAGGCCTTTGATGTACTGAGAATTCCCCTCAAGATACTGACTAGAGCTGTGTGAATAATTGATTTTCTCAGCTGAATAGCTGAAGCAACCAACCAACCAAACCCTAACTTGTTTGTTAATTAGCATTTTTTTTCCCTTGAACACTGGGGGAATTGTTTCATTCAAACAGAAACTGTCTCTCTTCCATTTTAAACATTTTTTTTCCAGACAAAAAAATAGCTAAAAATGCACTACTAGATTTGTGATAGGAAGCAAGGGTATGCATCCCACAAGGTAGGACATCTCTCAAGCAAGGTCACCTGAGGCGTATGGTTACTGTTTGGTGAAATCTGGAAGAACAGCCACGCTGCTTTAAAATCCAGCCCCTCGGAGACGTGCTCAGGTTTGGGAACCTGAAGCCAGGTTTCCCCACATACAAGGGCGATGCTGAAAAGCAACAGAAAAGCGCTACCTCTTAATTTCTGTGTTGCACGCTTACGTCTCCTTACGGACATAACTCCTGAGTGAAATGCTTCGCCTGTGAGATGTCAGAACGACTTCTCTCAATTTTTATTTTACTCTGCTAAAAGGTCTGTGACATCCATTAAAAAAATGCGAATTTGTCAAGAATCCTGACTGCTTGAAGATGTATGTTCAGTGTCAGTTTCATCTGCTTTTTGATCACTTTGTCAAAAAAAAGAAGGCTATATATGTTCACAGGCTACTATTAGCTCTGACAAAACAAGACGTGCTGCGTTTCTCTCCGAAGAACCGGCGGCGAACAGCAGCGTGACAGCCAGCTCGGCAAAACGGGACTGATGAGAAACGTTGAATGAAATGAGCCACCTCGGTTTTATCACGCGAATTGCCAAAAGGAGGAACGTACGCTGGCGGGAAGTTCAGTCCTGCCTACTCACACCGACGCCCGCGCCGGCGAGGCGCGCTTCGGGATGCGTCACCGGCTCGAGTATTCACAGTGATTTCACGCTAAATCATGGCGCTGTGAACCGGTGACATTTCTCTGGAAGGCCCCGTTGGCCCACCGGCGCCGGCAGCGCCCCATCTCCCGCTCGGCCTCATGGCTGCCGCCATTTGCTTGTGCGGGGTCGTTTTGAGGTGGTGGAGAATGGACCTCGCCCTTCCAGCCTTTCTGATTAATAGCAAGCGTGCTGAATATTTCACGCTATTGCAGGGTGCAGGCTGCCACCAGAAATTACACGATTAACCCGGTGTAAGCCACCGCTGTTTTCTCAGGACAGCACCTTGCAGGCACCGAGAGTACCCACAGCACGGCACGAGTTACCCAAAACCGGCCCCGCAGCTCTGGGAAATGCAGTGCCTCAGCTCTTCACTGTTTTGGTGGCTTTATTTTAATTTAAAAAAAAATACGGTCAAAAGTAGATTACCTGTAAAATGAAAAATGAAACGGGGCGAGGGGAGCGCCTGTCGTATTTTGAGCCCTATTATGCAATGGAGTCGAGATTACATAAGGAGGGGAGTGCAATTACAGAAACGTGGCTCCCATGACGCGGAGCCCGGCTGTGATGACAGGCTGGCAACCCATCACGCACTGCACCTCTGTAACCCAGAAATTAAATTTATTGTCAGCATTACCTATTAACATTTCCACTTTGAAGGCACATTCAGGGACTTCGAAACGTGCATGTTACACCTATTTAACTACTAAGTTGCTGGCAGCAATTTATTTCAGCCTTTTGTTTTGTCCCACATGCATTCTCTTTTTTTATAATTAACTTTGTAAACTTCTGGAAGAATGCTATTGAAACTCTTGCACTTTAAATGTGTTTATTAATGATGCACACATAAACATCCTCTGTAATCAGAAATTACTACTACTTTCTGGAAATCTCTTAAGTGGTTTAGGGAGGAAAATTATCAGATTATATAGCTTAATATTTATTACTAATAAACCAATTTAGTACTCATCTTCACTGAGTCATTTTATGATCCCAGTAAACCTTCATTTAACCAGTTTGCGTTCAACATTCAATACTGCAGAAAGATGCTGAATTGTTAAAAAACGGAGTGAATTTAGCATTGTCCTTCTAAACCCTTGTTTAAAATAATGAGAAATATGATCGCTATAAAAAGAGATGGGTTAACAAATAGTGAGATGCGGCAAGAGTAGCAACACAACTTCAACATACCCCAGGCTCAATGTAAATTAAGGCTCTTTTTTTTCTGGTAGGTGTTTTTTATATCCCAAGGTGACCTAGGAAACTTGACCTCTTCAAACGAAGTGCAGAGAAAAATACTATCTGGTTAAAAACCAGGAGCAGTAGGCCCAAATCAAACAGGGGAAAAGGAGGAAAAGCCTCTTACAAAAGAGTCTGTTAAATAATCAAAATGAATTTTCTGTCTTAAGAGAAACCAAGCCTTTACTTCTGCTCATACAAGCAGTTCCACAGAGGCAAACAGGACTAACCTCATTTTTAAGCAAATGAAAAATATGTTATTATTTACTCTTTCTCCCTCTCCTTGCCAAGATATGAATTTAAGAAGTTACTTAGCATCATTTACTGACAGACGCGGAGCTGTGCATGTCCCCTGGTTTCAAGGGCATTCGCGAAGTGACCAGGAGCATCACCCCGGCACAGCCATGTGCGTATTGCCCACTACAGTGACCATAAAGAAGGACTGGCTACGAGTTTCACCGGCAATATTTACCCACTTATTAAAAACGTCTTATGAAATACTTCTCTTCTAAGCATATTCTGCAGGAGAGAAAGAAAAAAAAGAAAACCCAAACATAAACCGCATTGATTCTGCTCAGAGGAGACCCTCTGCCGGGGGAACCGGGGACCTCCTCCGGCGAGGAGAGCTGGCAGGCACCATCCAGCCGCTGGAACCGCAGTACGTCCCCGAAATTACTCGCTCCTTTCAGGCAGGGAGATTTTAAACCGGCACGACTTCG